GAGGGAACAGTGTTGGGGAATCGGGGAAGGAGAACAGACAAGTTGCTGTTCTTTTGTTCTTCAGTCTATTTGTGGAGGACTCACTTCACTGGTCCATGTTGGTGTTATCATTGTGCTCTTCCTGGGTGAGGCAGTCACTCGCCGGCCATTGGATGGCCACTCACGGTGGCTCATAGCAGCTCACAAAAGTGCATGTCTGCTGCCAGCCAGCCCCACTGCTGCCTATGCCATTGCCTATGACTCACAGCAGCCCAGCTACAGGTCGAGCTGTTGTTCACCATCTTAGCTGTAGAGGGCGCAGCGTCACTGGTCCACATGTGGGATCTGAACCAGGGCCCTGCTGCTCAGAGCTTACGCTCCCAAGCCAACTCTTAACCAACAAGCCACTTGGCCAGCCCAAGAATAAATTTAACCAAGGTGGTACAAGACTTGTACCCTGAAAAACTACAAAGTGTTCTTGAAAGGAGTTAAAATTAAAATGTGAAGACATTTATGTTCATGGATTGGAAGACTTAATATAGTTATAATAACAATACTTCTCAAGTTGATCTACAAATTCAGTGCAATCCTTATCAAAATTTTAGTTTCCATTTTTGCAGAAAAGACAAGCTGATCCTAAAATTCATATGGAATTGCAAGAGACCTCAAATCCAAAACAGTCTTGAAAAAAGAACAAAGAGGATTAACTTCCTGATTTCAAATTTTACTATGAAGCTACAGTAATTAAATCATAAGGATAGACATCTAGATTAATCAAATCAAGAGTCCAGAAATAAACCCATACATGTACAGTCAATTGAATTTTGGCAAGGGTGCCATGATCATTCAATGGGGGAAAGAATAGTCTTTAACAAATGTTTTTGAGCAACTAGATAACCACATACAATTAATTTAAAACTAAAGGCTTAAATGTAAGAGCTAAAACTATAAAGCTCTTAGAAGAAAACATAAGGGCAAGTTTTGTGATTGTGGATTTGGCAGTAGTTTCTTAGATAAAACACCAAAAGCATAAGCAACAAAACAAAAATTAGATAAATGACTTCATCAAATTAAAAGCTTTTGTTCATCAAAGGATATTACCAAGAAAGAGAAAAGACAACCCACAGAATGAGAGAAAATATTTGCAAACCATATATTTGATAAGGATCTAGTATCCAGAATATATCAATAACTCTTACAGCTTAGTAATAGAGAAACAACCCAATTAAAAATGAGCAAAAACTGGGCTGGCCGAGTGGCGCATTGTTTAAAAGTTGGCTTGGGATGCCAACTCTAAGCAGCAGGGCCCCGGTTCAGATCCCACATGAGGGCCAGTGATGCTGCCCTCTACAGCTAAGATGGTGAACAACAGCTTGACCTGGAGCTGGGCTGCTGTGAGTCGCCGGTGACGGCGTAGGCTGAAAGTGGGGCAGGCCAGCAGTGGGCGTGAGCTTTCGTGAGCTGCTGTGAGCCGCTGTGAGCGGCCGTCCAATGGCCGGCGAGCGACTGCCTCACCCGGGAAGAGCGCAATGATAATACCAACTTGGGCCAGTGAAGCGATGTCCTCCACAGCTAGACTGAATAACAAAAGGACAGCAACTTGTCTGTTCCCCTTTCCTAATTTTCCAATAAAATCTTAAAAAAAAAAAAAGAGCAAAGACTTAAATAGACATTTTTCAAAGAAGGTATGCAAATAACAAATAAGCACATAAAATGATGCTCAATATGATTCATAATTAGAGAAATGATAATGAAAACCACAGTGAGATACCCCTCCACAAGATGGATTAAACAACAACAACAACAATGAAAAGCAATCCTCCAGAAAATAACAAGTGTTTGTGAAAATGTGGAGAAATTGGAACCCTCACAGACTGAAAGTGGGAATGTAAAATGGTAGAGCCACTGTGGAAAATAGTTTGGCAGTTCCTCAAAAAAGTTAAAATTAGAATTACCATATGACCCAGCAGTTCCACTTCTAGGCATATGAAGAGTACTGAAAGCAGGTGTTCAAACAAAAACTTTTACACAAATGTTTATAGCAGTATTATAGTAGCAAAAAATGGAACCAACCCAAATGTTCATCAGTTTATGAATGGATAAACAGATTGTGGTCTAGCTATTCAATGAAATATTATTCAGTCATAAAAAGGAATGAAGTACTGCTACATGCTATATAAATGAACCTTGTAAATATATTAAAAGTCCCTGAATTATGGACTTTAAAATGGTTAGTTTTGTGATATGACTTTTACCTCAATTAAAAAAAAAACATTCCCAATAGTAGGATTCATCGGGTATTCATAAAATTAATTTCATGTATTAATATCTCCATTTTAAATGCTTTTGACAAACATAAGGAAGCTTTAAAGGAAAATAGCCTCTGTTTATTATATGGCTTTACTGTAATTGAAAGTTATGTTTATATTTTTATTCTGCATCAATTTATACCCATCTAGATCTTTTAAGTGTTTTTATTTTGTTATTTAAAAGCATTTGAATTGGATTTTAGAATAGCTGTTGGGGAGCCGAGTGTTGAAAGCAGCAGTATATCTAATGCTTTGGAGAAATCGAATGTAATGTGATACAGAAATCTTTGTTGATTACTGAAATTATGTACTTCAAATTAGGGTATTATTTGAAGTATACTGAAATGGTATGATTTGTACTTTCCACATCTAAAAGACCCTTCTTGTCCCCAATTGTCTGATTGCTATCTTGCCATCGCTTTTATTTCATGCCTCGCCTTACACTTTTAGCAATAATTTCTCTCCTGTTGCTTAAACATTGTTCAATAGAAATATAATGTAAGCCGTATATGTAACTAAATTTTCTGGTAGCCACATTTAAAAAGTAAAAAATAGGTGAAATTAATTTGAATAATATATTTTATTTAGCTATGTTCAAAATATTAACATGTAATCAATGTTTTAAAATCTAAAGAAGTATTTTACATTCTTCCACGTCTTAAAAATTCAGTATGCGGAGGGCTGGCCGAGTGGCTCAGTTGGTTAGGAGCTCGCTCAAGAGTGTGAGCTCTGAGCAACTAGTGGTTTGATTCCCGGCCCGAGCTGAGCTGCCGCTGAGCTACCAACAGGTGGCAGAATGGCTCAGCCCAAAAAAAAAAAAAAAAGGAAAAATTCAGCATGCAGTTTACACTGACTGGTGTGCATTTTACACATCTTTAGACTAGACGCATTTCAAGGGCTCGATAACTATGTGTGACCAGTAATTACAATGCTGGACAATCCGGGCTTAGATCATCAGAACTAGGCTATTGTCTCAAGAAGAGATGTACTAGTTATTTCTGGGAATAGAAAGAACACTTTTTGTTTCTCGTGTTTTGCCCCCAGACAGGTTAGTTTTATCTTATTAGCCAGTTTTTTACTTGAAAGATACAAAAAGAAATCTTTGTGACTTCGTGGGGTGAAGAAGAGGAAGCTTGGAGTAAGCATGGGTGTGAACGTGAGAGTCAGAGTGTGGGAGGAAAGACTGGGATTCAGGCCACCGGAAGTTTCATGGCAGAGCTATTGTAGGTAAGTCCAAGAGAGGATGGGGCAGCATCCAGAGGGACTACTCGGGGCTGGGGAAAAGATCTAGCCCTGGAACATGGTCCTGAGTCACGTTAAAGGTGCCTAGTTGGCCATGACTTTCTTCTCAATTGTCACCCTCTCCTATGCCTCCAGTATCCATTAGATGGATATTACAAAGTATATAGTGACTAAGAGCAGGTACAAAGGGACATACTCAAGAGAAAATACTTACTTTACCATTTGCCTTAAGATTGCCTTGCTTGCTTTCTTCATAGCTGTGCCACTGCATATGTTCTACTGGCGGAGGAAGAAGCCACAACTATTGTAGATGCGGAAAGGTTATTTAAACAGGCGCTCAAGGCAGGAGAAACAATTTATAGGCGGTCACAGCAGTGCCAGCACCAAAGTCCTCAGCACGAAGCTCAACTGAGTAAGCAAATTTGAACGAATTCTTGAACTGGCTCTTTTATGTTTAAAACACAAAACAAAAATAATAAAAAATTTAATACTTAGATGTTAGCTACTTTTCATAAGAGATGACTAATCTATTCATAATATGTACAAGCCAGCAAGACAGAAATATGCTATCAGCTAGATGATGCTTGTGGAAGGGAACAGATCTGCCCTGGTTATGGAGAGATGTGCTGCTCTAAACCTTAACAGTAATTTATTTCATGTGAGAATCGTGCTGGTCATTGGAGAAACAACACAAAAGGTTCAGGAGAGCCTTCTAGTAACAATAAGCAACTCCTACCCTTATCCTCACTCATACCCCACGCAATAGTAGAGGGACATCATTTGGTTGGCTCTTCAGACAGTGTGTATCTTTCTCCATCTAGTGCCAGGGAGCAGCCCTTTTAGCACAAAAAGCAGCCTCCTACTTGGCACTGATTCTTTCTTTGGTTGATTTTTCTCTGTGATGTGTTTGAGATCACATGGGCCATAGCAGCCGAGGTCCTTTCCACTCTTAAGGATACTGATCTAGTTATGATTGAGACACTTTTACCAAAGATGTTAGAATCTGTAGTGCTGTTGCTTCCTGTTATTTTTTATGGCCAGAGGGTTTTAGTTTCATGATTTTGGCAGATAGTGGACAATAAATTGAAATATGTTTACATAATGCATTATCTGCTAGCAGTTAAGTTCTAAATCTTTTGTTTGTGGAAATTAAAATTTGGGTAATGTTTCCTCTCTAAACTAAATATTGATGTATACAGTATGTTTCATTAATGCATGTTGTTATGGCACACAACTGTGGGAATACATAACTGCAGTCTGGAACTAATGAAACTACATCTGTAAAAAAGTTATGCCATTTGTCCTTGTATAATCTCAAATATGGTTATGAGATAGTTACAGAAATATTTGTTAGCCCTTTCTAGAAGTAGTTATATAGTTTATTAGTTACTAGCTATTGAGCACAAGTGTGCACTAGCCATGGAAAATTTGTTTTGAAATTTTGTTTTGAATCGTTTGTCAGTTAAAACAATAGAGAATATGAAAATAATAAATTGCTTATGCAGAAACTTAATAGGTTACTGTTATTTCTTCCTATTAATATATGTATTTCTTTTATGTTAATATTAAAATACATATGTTAAGTATACATAGATTACTTTATATATACTCTACTAAGATTACTTATTGTTAGAGGCAAGAGTAATTATATATATGTTAATCTTTTAATATAAAAAACTTCAAACATATACAGAGAGAGAGCAGTACAGTATAATGAACCCTTTTAATGTGTATCACCCAAATTCAACAATCATTAATATTCTTCCATTCTGACACAATTTAATTCAATTAAAACTTCCAGGATAAGCAAATAAAATTAATAGACAATATGTTAATGAAATAGCCATAATACAAAAGTGATAGTTGTGTCATTTTTTTTTTTTAAATAGGGAGGGACACCAATGTACTGGTATATATTAAGAGAAGATTGGCAATGTGTGCAAGAAAATTAGGAAGAATAAGAGAAGCAGTAAAAATCATGAGAGATGTAAGTAAACTTGATGACTGGGCCTTTATATTTTTCAAAAAACTGATGATGTGGTTTCAGTTGCTGATTATTTTAATGCAGAATCACTGTTTTTTAATTGGTAGTTTTTATAAAAAGATATTTATTTAATATGCACAAATTTCTTAAGGGTTGAGTCTCCACAGTTTTAAGAAACAAAAGAATTTCTATTTTAATGAATCAGATTCAGCTCTATGGAGTTTCTTTGTTATAATTTTAACCTTTTTTTCCTTTTAATATACAGTTGATGAAAGAATTTCCTCCTCTTACCATGTTGAACATCCATGAAAATCTCCTAGAATCCCTTTTAGAATTACAGGCCTATGCTGATGTTCAGGCAGTCCTAGCAAAATATGATGGTGAGTGACATTTGTCTTAGTGGATAGCATGGTTAATGTTTTTTCCCAAATTATGTAATCATAAATGTGAACCTATCCTAGTATTCCTGATTTTCTTCACATTCCTATTAGTCAGTATTTAGAATACATTGGTACAAGTTGCTATTAATATCTTCTTTATTAGGACTTTTGTAACTTTAAATTTTCCGGTAGCCACATTTAAAAAGTAAAAAATAGGTGAAATTAATTTGAATAATATATTTTATTTAGCTATGTTCAAAATATTAACATGTAGTCAATATTTTAAAATCTAAAGAAGTATTTTACATTCTTCTACGTCTTAAAAATTCAGTATGCAGAGGGCCGGCCGAGTGGCTCAGTTGGTTAAGAGCTCACTCAAGGAGGAACTTTTCTTCTGTCAGGATTTATTTGTTTGTTCATTGAGCACTTAATATGAGTGAGGCACTTTGCATTCAGTGCTGAACAAGAAGATAGGGACTTAGCTCTCATAGGATTTACAGTTTAGTGGAAATACAGACAAATGAACAGTAATTATATTGAAGCATACTGCGTTAGGTGAGATAATTGGAAGAGTGTGGGGATGCTTAGGATGATACCTCATTTGTTTTGGAGCACCAGGGAAGCCAACAAATTGTTTAGCAGTAGGTGTAAGAGTAATTCAGAACATCATTTTTACAATGCTTTTTAGTTACAAAGTGTAATTTATCTCATTTGATCCTTATAATAATCTTGTGAGGTGGTAAGGCAAGTATTTTTACTATCTCCAGTTAGAAAATAAGGAAACTGGAGCTGAAGAAGTTTAGGTAACTGAGTAACGTTTCCCAGCCTTTAAGTGGCTTGCCTGACGTAAATCCAGGGATTCCATGTCTTTGTTTACTCATCTCCCAAAAGTAACAGGTTGATATATTGGCTATTTTTATTATTATACTATAACAGTACTAACTTACTGCAAATGGAGTTGGGAGAATTTTTAAGAAGCATAGCCTTTCTACTCATTCTGAGTGAGGCATCAGCTTTTTTTTTTTTTTTTTTTTAAGATTTTTATTGGGGAATTGGGAATGGGAACAGCACTGCGGAATTGGGGG